AAGTCCATTAACATTTAGCCTGTCATTAAAAGAAATAATGTAATAGATAGGGAAATACCTGTTGTTAAATATGATACCATGTGCTTCTGTAGTTACAGAAACATGCTATCTGCAGGTATACTCACCAACATTTATTATGACCAAGTACAGGGGAAAACTCGACTGGAATGTATTTTTGGAGGGTCCCAATTTTACTGAATGTCTAAATTGGACTTCTGTTGTTTATTTTGAGAAAGACGTAACTATGCTGTCAATTTATAAGCGCTCTACCAGATGCTAGTTTTGACATACATACATATTGGAAAAATTATTCCCAAGTCAGATAACTCAAGATTACATTACATTGCGTGCATGAATATATCAGACAAGTATTTTATAAAGCTAATTAACTGTTGATAGTATTTAGCTGAATCATCTTTGTATTGATTTTCTCCTTCAGCCTTATGAGAGAATGAATGTAGCTGATGCCTTGATCTCAAAGACATATGAAGATGGAACACAAATTATCAAGCAGGTAATACAGCCACTGCATAAACCTGACACCAGTAGATGTAGTACACATACAGACTTTAACTGATCTTCATTCATATACAAACTTAAACAGATGGGTAACCTTCCATGGGTTTAACTATACAAAGCCCTGTATGGCTATTATAGATACAGATGTTTAAAATATTCTTTGTCATATGAAAAGAACCCATGACTGTCTTCCTGTCAATATTGTTAATTATGACAACTTGAAGTAGGCAGAGCTGTGAGGCAGGTGTTCCCATACTGTTTGTGCAGGTCACAGCGGGTGGTAGTGCAGGTACAACTTTAGTCTCATTTCTTCATCCACCTCTCAATGGCCATTTCATTAATATTTTCACTTTATTACTTCTTGTCATGGAGGAGGATTTCTTCTTGTCATAGAGGAGGTTGGGCAGCCAGTCTCCCTACACATTGTCTCCCACAGCCCCCCCCCCCCCAACCCCCATTGATTTACATATAAGGTACCCCTTTTGTCAGCTTCAAGTAGGCTCCTGGGTAAAATACAAGTAAGGTTCACAAAGTTAGTGAACTCCTTCTCAGGGTACTCTACCCCAGTGTGATGTATTTCTCAGTATCTTCTACTTCGGTGTGTTGTATTTCCAGGGAGACACAGCAGACTGCATGTATTTTGTAGAGTCAGGAGAAGTGAGGATCACTGTGAAGGTAAGTGGGTAGTAGGCTCTCTGCTGTAGTCATGTGTGCAGTATTTATATAGGACAGATGTCTCACCCAGTCAACACATTTATATCACTGTGATGTGTTAACTGTGTCACCCAGTCAACACATTTATATCACTGTGATGTGTTAACTGTGTCACCCAGTCAACACATTTATATCACTGTGATGTGTTAACTGTGTCACCCAGTCAACACATTTATATCACTTTGATGTGTTAACTGTGTCACCAAGTCAACACATTTATATCACTGTGATGTGTTAACTGTGTCACCCAGTCAACACATTTATATCACTTTGATGTGTTAACTGTGTCACCGAGTCGACACATTTATATCACTGTGATGTGAGTTGTGTCCTCCCATAATTGTGATAAACAGATTTTGTAAGGCAACAAGTACTGAAATATTTTGGTCGTTTTTGTTGAGTGTCAATTAACTTAATTTGACAGTAAATCTACATGTTCATCTATATTTTACCTACATGTCACCTCTGTTTCAAACTTTTCTTTCTTTTATGTGTTGAAATTATTTCTTTTTTCAGAATGATAGTAATGACGAAAAGGAAGTAAACAGGATAAAGACAGGCGGTTACTTAGGAGGTAAGACACTTAATGTCACTAGCAGACCCTAAATGTCACTAACAGACCTTAAATATCACTGGCAGGATTTAAATGTCACTAGCAGGCCTTGCATATAACTGGAAGACCTTATATGTCATATACAGAACCTAAATATCACTGGCAGAACTCAAATATCACTGGCATAATTTTGATATCACAAGCAAGTCTTAAATATCACTGGCAGAACTCAAATATCACTGGCATAATTTTGATATCACAGGCAAGTCTTAAATATCACTGGCAGAACTCAAATATCACTGGCATAATTTTGATATCACAGGCAAGTCTTAAATATCACTGGCAGAACTCAAATATCACTGGCATAATTTTGATATCACAGGCAAGTCTTAAATATCACTGGCAGAACTCAAATATCACTGGCATAATTTTGATATCACAGGCAAGTCTTAAATATCACTGGCAGAACTCAAATATCACTGGCATAATTTTGATATCACAGGCAAGTCTTAAATATCACTGGCAGAACTCAAATATCACTGGCATAATTTTGATATCACAGGCAAGTCTTAAATATCACTGGCAGAACTCAAATATCACTGGCATAATTTTGATATCACAGGCAAGTCTTAAATATCACTGGCAGAACTCAAATATCACTGGCATAATTTTGATATCACAGGCAAGTCTTAAATATCACTGGCAGAACTCAAATATCACTGGCATAATTTTGATATCACAGGCAAGTCTTAAATATCACTGGCAGAACTCAAATATCACTGGCATAATTTTGATATCACAGGCAAGTCTTAAATATCACTGGCAGAACTCAAATATCACTGGCATAATTTTGATATCACAGGCAAGTCTTAAATATCACTGGCAGAACTCAAATATCACTGGCATAATTTTGATATCACAGGCAAGTCTTAAATATCACTGGCAGACCTTAAATATCATATGACACCACTTGGCTATCAACCATGGGTTGATTATGCTGGTAAGGTGGTAGTTTATATGACTTATATATATATTTATAGTTAAATTGTCAACAAGTTGTTGGTGATATGGACCTTTCACACATATACAGACAGTATATATATATATATGTATTACTTTGAATTTCCAGAGCTGGCACTTCTAACCCACAAACCAAGGGCGGCGTCTGCGTATGCTGTGGGTACTACTAAGTGTGCAGGTACCCTAGTCATTTCTACACACTCTTTTATTGGAATAGAGGAAAAAACATTTCATATACATGAAACCCCATATTTTTTTTCAATTTTTACAAAATTGCAGGATGATAATTTGGATATGAAGACTATGCAAAAGGAGTGATGTTTGAGATGGAGTGTTTTAAAATATGAAATGGGGAAGGATTATTCGTTTAACTATTGTTGAAATGGTTGATTTTGTGTAATTCCAAAGTGTGGAGCTCTTCTAGGGACCATTCCCACAGATATTTGGATTGATCTATCTTCCTGGGGAGTCTTACTAAATTGCCATCAACTTAACTGACTTAAATGTCTGTCACGCCTAGTAAAGCTGTTAGGGGGTAATTATCTCTACCCCCTAACTGATTCGGTAGGCGTGACAGACATTTAAGCCAGTTAGTTGATAGCAATTTAGTGAGACTCTCCAGGGAGTTAGACCGATCCAGATGGATCGATCTAGGCATGGGAAGAGGCTGTTCCACTTTTCTTTAGTATTATAAAATTACGTGTTTATGTATATTCTTATAGCATCCATCTGTATTTCAGTGCTTGATGTTCAAGCTTTTGAGCGTCTCCTGGGGCCTTGCATGGATGTCATGAAACGGAATATAGATGAATATGAAGAACAGTTAGCTCAAGTCTTTGGCTCAAAAGTGGAGATCACAGACCTACGATGAAAAATAGACCAGAATATAAAACTTGTGTAATAAAGTATCAGAGTATTAAGTATCAATTAATTTTATCTCTGTACTCTGTTTGGATGAAATTCAAAATGAAATGTATGATAATTTAAGACAAATTAATTAACTTGGACATTTCACTGCTCTGAGAGTAGACCGTGTACTGGGGAATCAGTTTAGCTTTATTCATTGTAAATCAGCACAATCAGTTACTGGGTGCCACATGTGACCATATGCAGCACTGTGTCCTGGGTGGCAGCAAGGTACTCACATCAATGGGGGTGGGGGTGGGGCATAACCTAGACTGAGTGATTTCACAAGTTTTGTTCTTCACTTTCTTGATTTGTATGGTGGCAAGGTAGGTTTTTTTTTTTTTTTTTTTTTTTTTTTTTTTTTTTTTTTTTTTTTTTTGGGGGGGGGTGTCTCTATAAAATCCACAGGTTGTGCTTAGTAGACATATATCTTGATTTGAAAGAGAAGACAATGTAGAAGGGGATGGGGGGGGGCTAACATGTGTTGAAGTCAGTATTTAAAAATAAACCATGATTTTGTTGATATAATTACATGCTGTGTTGCAAACACTCCAGTGGTGCACATGAAGTAGATTTATGTTTAATAAGATTTCAATCTAGTCTTATAGCAAGAGAAAATGTTCTGGAGAGTGGAGTGGACTGCTCTTCTGTAGGGAGGGGCACACCAGGCGGGTTTATACAGTAGTAAATTTTGACATGTTTGCTCTACAGCACCAAGGTCAGTGATGAGTTGGGGTGGATATTTTTTGTAATTTCTTTACCTGGAGCTAGACTGTAATCTTACTTTGGACATGTTAGCTGTATGGTATGGATATATAAACCTATATGTAGACTTCCAATGTTGATTTGGTGCTGCACACTCATCTGAGTAATTATTCATAGTATTTCAGTTAATTTCTTTGTGTTGACAAATGTGGGTTGTGCCAGTTGACAGCATTTATACCAAATATATTTAAACCAAATCTGAGTGTTGAAACTTGGTCGATCACCTTGCCATAAATTGTGAGTTTATCCATATGCAACAAATTTTCATAAGTCCCCCTTTAAATTTAACCTCAATATGTCATTATTTAAGCATAAGTATATTATGTAGCATATTGCCAAAGTTTAAAGCAGAATATGAACACATTTTCAGGATAAATCGATTAGTATTTAATATGTTCCAAGTATTCACATCTTCCTAGAATAATCTAACAATGCTCAAAGTTGGCCGTTCTCGGGAGTATGATTAATAGTTGATAGAAAGTGGTTGATGTTTAGTAGTATTTAATGTTTATTCATTGTACGTTTTCTGAGAATTGTTGTAGATATTTCTAATGTTAGTACTGTGTTAGTACAATGTTATTCAATGTTGCTTCATCTTGTCGTTGGCTGTTCTCAATTTTTTAATGATTCCTGGTCACGTGCCCCTGGTCACGTGTTAAGAATAAATTAAAAGGTCCACAGCTTGCGTCTGTCAACTGCTGACAAAAATTCACAAGTGGTTATTTTAATAAAATGTGAAAAAATATTTTAGAAATGTTGTATTTATTTCATGTTTGTTTTATTTTCTCACCCAGTATATGCCACAGTTTTCCCGTTTGTCGTGTCTAAGCTAACAGTATCTGGGTCCGAATGTAAGTTGACCCAAGGAGTTATAACTCCTTGCTTGACCAGCTCCAGATAATACACGGTGATTCAGTCTCTTCCAAAGCACCTCGTTCCTTTCCCCATCTTGTAGATAAGTACCCTGAAAACGCCGAGATATTTCACCTCACCTGCATCATGTCGGGATGATACAAATAAATCGCCCATGTACTGCATTCGAAATTTCTCATGTTAGATTATTATACACTGGGTGCCATGTGTATTGCCATGCTTAAAAATCTTTTAGTAAATATTGACACGCTTAAAACTTTATATGAATGCTGCGTATACACTATGTACAGGTAGTAAACAAAACTACAATTTTAAATCAATGGAGTGAATGGCTTCAGAGTTTGGTCGGACATGACGTTTAAATGGAAGCAACAATAAACAATTTTTAAGATTTGGAAATTGTTATTGATGAAGATTTCCCTTTGCTTGCTTTCCAATTTTTACTCTTTAAAATCTTTTTATTAAGTTTGTGAAATAAAACTTTGTTTCTTCTACAGGTTCCATAAACAAAACATTAAAATAGATTTCGTCAATAATATTTTGCTATAGTTTAAGCGCTTTAAACTGGTTGTAAGTATGGCAGCTCCTCCAGGTCGTCATCCTCCTCCTCCTCCTCCTCTCCCTCCTCCTCCTCTAGCCTCAGCAGTATGTCCTGTGCCGTGGGCACTTCCTCCAGACCCAGTGCCACCCGACCAAGTCTGATGTCCAGGTAGGTCGCCATGTTGACCACTGTCACCTCGGAGGTCAGGGTCAGCAGCAGGAGAAGACACACATCCCGGAGCCGGAAGATGGTCACTGGCAGCACAAATGCTAAATATCCCAGGCACATTGTCAACAATATTCTCTTCATTGACAGCATGTGAACGTGCATGAATCCCGGAGGTTATCATAGACAGATATCCACATAACTTCCATGGATGTATTCTGTGATGAATTTCACCATGGCGACTACTGTTACTAAGTCACTGGAGCGTCACATGTACGTATATTCTACCTATGACGACACAAAGCAACGTTACGTTACGCTATAGATATCGTTTTCACAATTTATAGCAAATCGGATAGTAATGAGACAAACATATTTTATGTCGCCGTCTTACATGTATTATACGTTTAATTTGTGTAGAGAATGAGTACGTAGAGTACGGGTTTATATCCTGATAAAACACACTACCCCCATGTAATTTATCATTTTGGAAAAGGTCTTTTATTACTGTCATCATTATGATAGCAATGTGATAAATGAAAGTTTACTGCTTTAAATCTTGCTTTTTTATTACATGTTTATCTTTTTAAATTAGTCGCTTTACGTCTTTGTTACACTGTAGAAAAGCGGAATGAGAGAGAGTGAGAGAGAGATAGGGATATAATATATTCACTAGAATTTATGTAACATTAAGATACGTTTTTTTTTTGAAAAGGTAAACAGTTGAGCCGTAACTCATTTTCCGTTGATAATTCAGAATTATTGCATTTTGGGCACTTTATTTTTCCTGAAAAAAAAAAAAAAAAAAAAAAAGGAGATCGCGTAGTCCTACGACACGCCTGCTGTCTAGAATGTTATTCTAGCCTCTAGATTTTCGCAGATATTACTACTTTAGACCAATTTTTCTCGGGTTGAAAAAGCTCCTTTTTGTCCCCCACTGTGCAACAGGCAATGCCTCTTGTTCCCAAATATTGACAGAACGCACGCAGTAAGTAAACACACCAAAGAAATATAGAAAATACCAGTATGTAATGTTTACTGACGTATATAGACGTTGACTTTAATTAGAACCGATATATTTACAAATAAAAAAACATATAAAAGAAGGACACATGGAAAAGTTAACATTAAACGGACGGCAACGTTTCCAAAAATTCATTCAACTTCTTGTCCTCCAAAAACATTGAATTATGTGATGTCATTCCCCTTCTCGATGTCCACCGAACTCACTCAACGTCATTTTCAGCTTAAAGTAACGAACATGATGTCACAAAGTTTATTTTAAATGGAGTCTTTATAATTCACTTGCTTTCTTCAAATGTGGCAGAAGCTCTTGCAAGCCCGCGTTTCCTGAAACAGAATGGAAACTGTAATAATAATAATAATGTTGTGGTTTGGTCTTCCTGGTCATAACAACAACGTGTGTTATTTGTTGTCTTAAAAGTCCCCATTTCTTAAAATAACCTGTAAATAAATGCTTTTGACACAATTTCGTTAAAACGCTGCTTAAAAATATCACTTTACCTGTCTTTTCAACAAAAACCAGTTGCAGAAAAGTGTGAACTTAAAAAGTTACTTCACCAAATATATAAAACTCACAGACGTTATTTATTATCATAGAAATCCCATTGTTGTAAAGCAATTTCCAAAATGTCTTTATGTGGAAAGCTTTTCAACAACAAATTGAAATGACAAGATAGGATGTACTGAGGCCAGGACTGTAGCGGTGTGTGTGTGTGTGTGTGTGTGTGTGTGTGTGTGTGTGTGTGTGTGTGTGTGTGTTTGTGTGTATTCCGACGTCTATATACTTACGCCTCCCGTGTGAAGGTATCCAGGTTGATCCTGTCCAGCTCTCCTCCAGCCGGGTGTTGGTCTAGGTCAGTGACCCCAAGGGTCATCAGAGCTGAGAAACATAATACATGGTTATCTTATACTGTTCAACACTATTTAATATACTATTATACTATACTATAATATGGACATTGTGCAAATTAAATAGCAAAAAGCAACAGCAGAGGTACAGTGTACATGTACTCGTAATGCTAAGGAGTACTAGTACATTGCAATTATACTAGTACTGTACGTAGCACTCCAAAATGAACTGCAACAGCTTGACTCGTATTTGGGGAAAATTCAGTTATATATATAATGTCGTTTTAAATCTGTGAAATTCTTACCTTCTTTGTATTGCTGTAAAGTGATATAACCCCTTTCAGTGGGGTCAAGCATTCCAAATATAGACCTTATGTTACTTTCGTCAAATAGGCAAGGAAAGTCCAATTTTGTTGTTCTTGCATTTTTTAATTTTTCTAACTGATCAATAAGAAATTTCTTGGGATCCTCTGAAAATGAAAGTCGGTAAGATTTAATTTTCAGTTACATACTCCAATAGTTGTAGTTGAGGACGTGGAAGGAAGGCACCCGGCCTTATCCGCTTTTAAAATATATTATTATTATTACTACAAATGTCACTGCTTGTGTATTTTACTGAAAAAGTAAACATTTTTCCACAGTTCATTGTAATATTTTTACAAAACACCTATGTTAAAAGGCTCACAGCTTGTAGAGATATGATTCTGATACCAGGCACTTGCCAACTACGGGGAATATTTTCCGAACGAGTCCAATACACAGTTAGTGCCAGAATTCACTAACTAAATCTGGCGTACGTTGAGATGTAAGGAAACATATTGCATCGTAAATTAAACCTACCTGGTTTATTATATATAAGCTGTGCTGTGAAATTATCAAATAAGTCTAAAATGCGATGATTTTTCAAATATTCGTGAGCGTCGACCTGCCGCGGCCACTTGTCTTTTCCGTCAGACGCCATCTTTGTTTTCGCTAGCAACACGCAATGAACTGTGGGTAATTTTCTCAGGCGCATTCACCGGCGCACCTACCACAATCACTGCCCGCAACACTGCAGTAACAGTAAAACTCCATATGCTACGCGCAAAGTAATATTCTTGATAACGGTTGTAGGCAATCTGAAGTCAAATTTGAATAGAGATGAACCTGAATAAATTTCATTATGAAAAATTAAGATCCTTTAAGGAAGTCTAGATACGGCTATAAAAAACTGGAACTCAAAAATTGAACCCACTCCAGGCTACCATAGGCCTAATGCTAAAACGCGTGGAACCCGCAAAAATGTATGGTTACATGTACTTGTATATATGGCATTTTTAATGGTATATTAAATGCCAATTAGGGCCACGACGTTAACTATGCCTCATTTTCCTCTGAATTAAAATATCTAGTGGATCGAAGGTATTTTGGGGAGATGATACATTATTAATTACAGTGTCCACAGGTATTGATCGACAAAACCATTATATTAATACATACTGCCATGACGGTTCCGTTAAGATATAAAACCATAGTTACCAAGAAGCGAATAAGTGACATGTTTGGAATCTCTATACTTTTAATGGTTTCAATCTACTTGGGACTTCACATCGGTGTCTATTTAATTGTATTTTTATGAAGCACTTGTGTCGACAGCATTTCTTGGGGATATATCTGTAATTTAGCGTGTTGGTGTTTGGGAGTATTAAGTGTGCTTCTCATGATATTTAATGTTATTCTGTATGCTATGATATATCTTAGTGCACACCATACAGTTACATCAGCGCTTCCTTGAAGCAGAGTCGAAGAAGTTGACAGCCATAATTGACAGCACCACTTGCATCTTTAAAAGTAATTAATCTCCTTTGACAAGAAAAATTAATAGGTTAATTTAATTAAATATCTTTTTGTTATTTTATGGATACAGGTAGGTTTGAATGACGATGGTAGTATATATAGGCCTATATATACACACACTGGACAATAGGAGTGTCACCCTTACTGAACCAATATACTTTGAGGGAGATAAATGACTGTGAAATGATATGCTCCTGGTATCATTTTATTTACATCAAATTTCACAAAAGAAACGGTTCTGACTGAACAATTCAACTGTATCGATATTCTGACATTGCTTATATTCCTATAATAATAATAATAATAATAATAATAATATTAATAATAATAATAATAATAATAATAATGATAATAATATGTATTTATTTGCAACTTAAAAAGTTGGATTTTACAATAAAAAACAAATAGTGGTGAGATGCACAATCTAAAGATATACTTGTAAGTGTTTAAATGATTCGATGCACTTTAAAAGTTCATAAAAACCTCAGTTATTAAAATTTGATAAAGCCCATGGGAAGACTTGTCAACATCAAAACTTAACCCTTCAAAAGACCAAGCAAATTAAGCCGCAAAGTTGCTATTATCTTCAATAACTATTTTCGTCTATTTTATCAAAGATAAACCAGTTAATTCTGTTGGTCCATAAACCCAGGGACAGGTGTGAGAGGGGATGCATGTTTTTCATCGGCCTTTTTAATAGTTTTCCAAGCTGGTTATTAGTAGTAAATACGCGCTGGCATATTGGAAGTTGTTTCAGTTGGAATGTCATTGGTTTTTATGGTTACCGTCGCAGGTATGTTCAGGGTATTCCTTGCTGGCATGTTAGAAGTATTACTTGTTGGTACGTCTAGGGTCTTACCAACTTGTAGAAGATTATTAGCTGGAAAATACAGCCTATTCATACTGATATCTATGGCTGGCATAATCCTACGCCTTGTGTATTTTCTTACAGGTAAATTCACATCCATCATAGTATTCGTGCGGCTGCTATCTGGTGTGTTTACGGTATTTCTTGACGATACTTCCATAGTATCGCTGGTCACTAAATTCAAGGTATGCATAGCGTTGTTGGCTTGCGCGGGGACCCCTGTCATCCCAGAATTACTTTCTGGCATAGAATTCCATGTTTTCATAGTATTACTTGCTGACATGGAATTCCCAGTCGTCATGGGATCACTTGCTGACATAGAATTCCGTGTCGCTGCGGTCTTACTTGCTGGCATTGGATCCATTGTCAAGATCAACATTGAATTCTCCCTCCTCACTGTGTTACTTGCTGGCATAGTATCCCCTGTCATCATGGTATTACTTGCTGGCATAGTATCCCCTGTCACCATGGTATTACTTGCTGGCATAGCATCCCCTGTCATCATGGTATTACTTGCTGGCATAGCATCCCCTGTC